CGGGCAGACGGCACGGCCGGGTGTGCTGCCCACGGTTCTGCGCCCCGGGAGGATGTCCCTTCCCCGGGCCCTTCAGGGGTGTCCAGCGAGGAGCTGCAGAGGGGCAGCGGTCTGCATCTGTGCAGGGGGCAGAGCCGTGTGTTAACCAGGCCCGGGGCTCCTCTCCCCCGTCAACTGATCAGAGGGGACTCCCCACGAGGCCACAGGTGCACATGGATGTACAAATATCTTTTTGAGTCCCTGACTCCAGTTCTTTTGTGCATATACCTAGAAGTGCATCTGCTGGGTCATATGGTATTTTTTTAAGTTTCTGAGAAACAACCATGCTGTTCTCCACAGCGGCTGCGCCATTTTGCATTCGTGCCAGCAGTGCCTGAGGGTTCGGCCTCTGCACATTCTTGCTCACTGACTATTTTCTGCTTTTTGGATAATCGCCATCCTACCGGGTGTGAGAAGGTATCTCACTGGGGTTTTAATTTGCATTTCCCTGACAACTCTTGATGCTGAGCCTCTGTCCATGTGCCGTCGGCCATTTGTGTATCCTCTCTTGAGAAACGTCTGTTCAGTGTTTTGCCCGTTTTTCATTGGGTTGCTTGTGTTTTTGTTGTTCAGGTTGAGGAGAGTCTTTATATATTCCGGATATGAATCCCTTATCAGAAATACGATTTGCGGGGCGCCTCGGTTATGCAGTCAGTCGGGCATCCAACTCTTTTTTTTTTAATTTTTTTTCAACGTTTTTTATTTATTTTTGGGACAGAGAGAGGCAGAGCACGAACAGGGGAGGGTCAGAGAGAGAGGGAGACACAGAATCGGAAACAGGCTCCAGGCTCCGAGCCACCAGCCCAGAGCCTGACGCGGGGCTCGAACTCCCGGACCGCGAGATCGTGACCTGGCTGAAGTCGGATGCTTAACCGACCGCGCCACCCAGGCGCCCCTTGGCTTTCTTTTTTAACATTGCTTTGGCTATTCAGGGTCTTTTCTGGTTCTATAGAAAGTTTGGAATTATTTGTTCTAGCTCTGTGAAGAATGCTGTTATTTTGATAGGGATCGCATTGAATGTGTAGATTGCTTTGGGCAATAATGACATTTTAACAATATTTGTTTTTCCAATCAATGAGCGTGGAATGTTCTTCCATTTCTTTGTGTCTTCTTCAATTTCTTTCATAAGTTTTCTATAGTTTTCAGCTTACAGGTCTTTTACATCTTTGGTTAGGTTTATTCCTAGGAATCTTGTGGTTCTTTGTACCATTGTAAATGGGATCGATTTCTTTCTCCCTGAGACCAAGAACATGACAGGGATGTCCACTCTCATCACTGTTGTTTAACATGGTGTTGGAAGTCCTCGCATCAGCAGACGACAAGATGAAATAAAAGGCGTCCAATTTGGCAAAGAAGAAGTCAGACTTTCACTTTCCGATACTCTGCATGGAAAACCTGAAAAGACTCCACCAAAAAGCTGCTAGAACTGATACACGAATTCAGCGAAGTCGCCAGATATGAGATCCGCGTACAGAAATCTGTTGCGACTCTATACATCCATAATGAAGCAACAGAAAGAGAAACCAAGAACTTGATTACATTTGTGTTGTTTGAAGCCATGAAGTTTGTGATAATTTAACAGGCTTCGCTGCCCCCAGTGCAGCCCCCACAGGCAGCCAGCAGAGGGCAGCAGCCGCCAACAAGCGGAACGAGGCAGGCCTCGCTGGGGCCGGAAGCCAGGACCGCAGGTCAGGTCCGCTCACCGCCGGGTAAAGACCCGGGACCAGAAGGGAGCATCCTGGCTACAGGCGAGTGTGTTTTCTGTGGAAGTTGATCGCACATGTCAGCTGAACGGTTTTCTGTGCGTCATCCTTCAGTAAAAATGTAGGGGGAGAGCCAGGAGGGCGTAGAAGCAGGGGACGAAAGAAAGGGGGTTGAGAATGGGACACAGCAGATCGATTACTTAGCAGAGCAGAGGAAATTAGACCTCAGCGTCTGCAAGGTTGCCTTTTCCCCAGGGGTGCATCCTGGCCGGCTCCTGGCAGGGGCAGCAGACGCCAGCCCGTCTGAGCAAGCCAGGCTGAATCCCTGGGCTGGTCCGGGTCAGTGCTTCGGGTGCCACGCACTCTTCGGCCAAAAGCTGTGTGAGGAGCAGTGAATGGGCTGCTTGCTGTGGACATACCTGTGGTCCAGAAGGCACCCCCTTACCTCCTCCACCAATGCGTCTGCCAGCTGGACTCCAAGGTCCACGCAGCCCAAAGGCAGAAAGGCCCAGTTGTCAGTCTGTTGCTTTCTCCATCCATCTACCCATGCGTCAAATAGCCATCATTCCGTCTAACCACCCACCTCTCTGTTTATCCATCTATCCATCCATCCATCCTTCTATCCTTCCTTCCATCCATCCATCCATCTGTCCGTCCATCCCTCACTCACTTATTCATTCATTCAACACTTTCTGGTGCCTCCTCTGCGCCTGGCACTGCACCACTTCCCCTTACTGGCCTGTTTTCTGACAAGAGCTCGCGCTTCTTTACTTAGCCGTGGCTCTTACAAAACATGGACAAGTAAACGAGTGTTGCCTGAGTAGGGGACACACGCCATCTGTGGTAGGGGGTTATTTTAAGGGGCACACAAATGACTCCTGGGGACCTGTCACATATGAATGTGTGGGGGTGGTGGGGAAGTGGGTGCCCCGGAGCAGGGGCTCGGAATCCAGTCTTGGGCTGGCGACACCCCTGTCCCAGGCACACACCCCGGCCAAGCTCTGTTCCAGGGAATCTCACGGCTGGTCGGGGATCCCAGGACTGGGCCTGGCCCCAGTGGCCCTCGGAACCACCGTCGCAGCTGTGTGCTTAGTCAGTGGGCAGGCACACTTGGGGGGGGGGGCGGGAGGGGGGCTGGGGAGACTGCAGGGTGCATGCACCATCTAAAGCACAGCAGCCACCAGGGGCTCCGGTCATCTGGGAGGAGGTGACAGGCTGCAAAATGGGGCTGTGTTGTCAGATGGCTTGAGAATTTTCAGGAGAACATGCAAATCGGGGTTTTTATGTAGGTTTACTTGCTTTTTGCATATTAAATCAACTACAAAAATGAGCAAACGCTGAACCTGCCAAACGGATATTGTATCGGGCTAGATGTAGCTCACGGCAGCCTCCGCCTGTTGGGGGGGAGGGGGAGAGAGCAGAGCCCCCAAAGCAGGTGCCAGCACGAGTGCCCTCCCCGCCCCAGACCTCAGGCCTCTGCGGGCCGTTGCCCATCACTGTCCTGCTGTGGGCGGGCACGACGCCACTCCAGGACCAGTAGCAGACAACATTCAGCGTTGGGGGCCACGGGGCCTGGGTTCGAGAGACGGCTGTGTCGCTACCTTGCTGTGTGACTGCAGCGGAGCCCTGACCCTCTCTGGGCCCCATTGTTGCTGAGATAACAGTGCCGGCTGACGGGCTGATCTCTTCCAAGGCCAGAAGTCGGGTCTCTGTGGCATCATCTCTTGGTTTTTCTCCACCCACCTCTACCGACCCCATCCAAACCCTACCATCGCCCTCCTGGATCTCTGGAACACCTCTCTTTGGCTTCCCATCCCACTGCAGACTTCACCTGACAAATGCAAAGACCTCAAAATGTGCATCAGATCCCATCTCTGGGCTGGTTAACACCACCCAGCCCCTGCGGTGGCTTTTACCGCCAGGCTCCAGGTCCTTGGGTCGCCTGGGAGCCCTGTGTGAGTCGCTTGTGGCTACCTCCCCTACCCTGTCTCCTGCCGCCTCCCCTGCCCCGCCCCGCCCCTCCCCTCCCCTCGAGTCAGCGGTCCGCACCCTGCTGCCTCCGGGCCTTTGCACTGCCCTTCTGCTACCTGAACTGTCCTGCTCCCTCCTTGTTACTCAGGCCTCCAGGGGCCTCCCGGACCAACCGTGTCACGCTCTGTTCTGTTTCATCAGTGTCTCTTTCTTCCTCTGAAACTATCTGGTTCTGGGTTCCATTTTCTGGTTAAGCATCTCACACTTTCTGTAAGAAGTCATAGCCTGGGGGGAGGACTGGTCTGCTTTGTCCACTGCTGTCTGCTTGAACCCTGCACGAATGAATGTCTACAAGGTCCGGGCGCCAGTCTCGGCTTAGGTGCTAAGGAGCCCTGTGACCTCGGGCCAGTCACTTGCCCACTCTGAGGCGGTTTCTTCATTTGACAAACGGGGCTAAAGATCCTACCAGGAGCCCTCATCGTCCTTGCGATGCTGTCCCCAGACGTTGCCTTCATGTCTAGACTAAGGAAGCGGTTCCAGAGCTTGAGAAGGATGCTCAGGGCATTGAGCGTGTGCTTTGCTGATGTTCTTGGGGATGCAGGAACGTGAGCACTAGGGGGCGCTCAAAGCTCTCCCTGGTGCCGGACGCACGTGAGGCGGAAGGAAGGTCCTCGGCCAGCAGGGCTGTGTGGCTTTGCTGGCCTTGGGTGTGAAAAAATACCTTTCCTTCGTGAAATGGTTGTGTTTCTAGGTGGTAGTTTTAAAAAGTGTGCACACGTGCCCCAGTGAAAACACCGGCAATCCTAGGTGGGTCCCCGAAAGGGTTGGGGACACTTTAGGTCCATGGAATCCTTAGTACTGTGTTGGGTTGGCGGGACCGGGGGTGGGAACTTGAGGATCGCGATGGCGGAAGAGGCTGCTGGAAAGGCGTGACCACGACTCCCATCCCAACATAAACGCAGGTGCACACACACACACACACACACACAGAGGCACACACACAGGTACACACAGTGCACACACGTGTGCACACCGCCCAAACATCAACACACAGGCACACGTGTGCACAGGCAGACACGAGCACATGCAAAACCACACATGTGCACACATGCTCTTACAGGGCGAGGGAGTCCCAGGAACATCTAGAACAATCCACGTGTCTGACACGGGAGGAAATGGATGCCTATGATCCCTCCCAAATGTGCAGCTCGACCCGGGGGCTCCGAGGACAGCCGCCCGGCTTCCTGGGGCGAGGGGCCGCACGGACAGCGCTCAACTGAAGTTAAGTGGTCGTGTATCCAAATTTATTTAGTTGAGTGAACCTTCAGCCGCGATCCTCTGCGGATTTGTGTACACGCTTTTTTTTTTTTTTTTAAAAAGTGGTTTCCATAAAAGGATTTTTGGTAATCACCTAATTTTTAATACAATGTTTATATACAAAAACCCCATTTCAAGCTACTCACTGTACAAGAGAAAACAGAAGCATCAGACCGCACGAGCTTAGCAAATAGCGAAAATCTATGGCACCTACGGACTTCGATCACAGTTGGCGACGTAAGGGAATCATATCACACCCAACCGCATGTTCAAGACAAACACTTTTACGTTTTCTTCCCTTTCTTTGGTGAAACATTTCCTGTGTTTCTCTCGGTGCTTGAGAAACTTCAGGTAATTGGTTAGGGTAATTGCTGCAAATTTAGAGTGCTCATGTCATCTAGGAGACTTGTTTTTACAAGCGTTAAAGTGGTAACTGTCCAACAGTAACATTCCTGTAAGTAAAAATATAGAGAAGTGTTACCAAAATAGAAGGCTTTATTAATAAAAATCTTTGGTAGTAACAGTATTTTAAATTCCTCTCAATGATATCTGGTTAACTAATAAACTCCTTCCACGTTTGAGCTACAGAAAAAAACCCTCACATCCACCATAGAATTGATTAAAAACCCAATAAATATTCTAAAGCTGCAAATGTTTTCCTGATGCCTTAAGACTTCTTGAAACCTGAAGCCGTCTTTAGAAATGCCTCCGAGGTCCTCTCTCTCTGCTCATGTTCCTGTCGACCCGGTTTTCTTTTCTTTTCTTTTCTTTTTCTTTCTGTCCCACCAAGAGGACGAACTCGGCTCGTGGTGGTGGGGCAGGTGTGTGGCTGGCGGTGGGGGTGGGGACCCCGGAGGTGCGGGTCGCCTGCTTCCTCGGGGACACCCGAGCCCTGCTGTGCTCCAAGAGCAAATTCTAAACTCACAGGCACCTCTTTCTGGCCACAGTGACTCGGTTTCTGAACTAACCGGAAACAGAAGATGAAAAGCCGTCGGACTTTTCCGACCCGGAGGCAGGTGATGCCTTCTGGGACTGGTGTCAACCTCATTTTTCCATTCTCCCTCCAGTACCGCACGGCGTTTGCCCCGATGCTCTGGGACACCTTTTCGTCTCTCTAAAGGCATCAGGCGGGGTTAGAAAAGACGCTTTCTGGAGGCCTCTGCTCACGTTCCGCTGCAAAGGAAACCCACGGTCCCCAAGAAGTGTTTCTGCAAAGCGCCCGCATTCCCGCGTGTTATCACCCTATCCCCAGCGATCATTTTGATTATCCTTGAATACTAAAGATAAAAAAAATTCCCTGCGTAACAGTTTTGTGCAAAAACGAGGAGGAAAAAAAAAACAACAGAAAAAGAAGACAGGAAGAGGTTGTCCTATCAGAAGGTGGGCTTCCAGGTTCTCCGCGAACACAGGAGCCCCGGGGCCCGGCGGAGGGGGCCCGGCGGCCTGGAGGCCAGGGGCAGCTACAGGGCGCCCCCGGGGTACTCGGGGCTGTCCAGGCCGGCTTTGGGGCCGTGACTGTTGCAGGGCTCTTGCTTCTTCCGGTCCTTCTCCATCCACGTGCCCAGCAGCCGCTGCTTGCCCTGCTCCTCCCTCATGAACAGCTCCACCATGAGGACCTTCTCCTTGTGGATCTGCTGGCTGATGTCCTTGGGGATGTCTGGGATGACCCAGTCCACAAAGTCACTCATGAACATGACCAGGTTCTGCAAGGACAGTCGGTGTGTGGGCGGTGGGGAGGAGGGCCCCCGCCTGCACCCCGCCCCCCCTCCACCGCCCCCGCCTCCACCTGCGCCCACCCCAGACACATACTTTGGGCTCCCCGGGCCTCGGTTTCCCACAAGGTATAAACGAGGCAGGAAACCAGCCAGAGGGCCATCCGGGAATGGTGGCTGACGCCTATAAGGGACCTGAGCTCGGTACACAGCAAGTTTCTGAGTGGTTCTGACTCGCGGGGCTGGGAAGCTCAAGAAAGGATACGATCGGCCTATAACGAGCGTCAGGCTTTAAGGAGAGTAGGTAAAATAGATAGAGGACAAAAGGGGATGGAACCTAAGTCTCTGATGATTCCACAGCCCCTTCTTCACCTCGCAAGGCCTCCCAGGGCTACCCGAAAAGTCCGCTCCCTCCCTAGGGAAGTTTCTGGTGCGCAGAAAGCAAGTGATGGGCTTTTACAGAAAAACCGAAATCTGTTTTTAAAACTCTTGTCCAGCGATGTCTGTCAGCACATCCGGCTGAGTTAGACACCTTATGGATGGTGCTGGCGCCCTCCCTCACCCTCTCGCCTTTCCTGGGTGGTGCCCCCAGCCCCCAGCTGCGGCCAGTGCTGGCTGCTGACGCTCACACCTGCCTCCTCTCCAGGGAACCGCCCCCTCCTGTCTGCCTCTTCCCGGCCTGAACGGCCTGCGGCCAATGACCAGCCAACACCGGCGGACAAAAGGCGCTCTCTTGCCTCAAGGTGGGCCCACGTGTGCTGGGGCTCATGCTCTGGAGCTCTCGCGAGACCAGGTGAGGCTGTCTCCCGCTGAGACTCCCTCTCCGCTGCACTCCCTTCCCCTCTCCTGGGAGGCTTCCTCCAGTAACCCACTTGCACAGAATCCTTGTCTCAGGCTCTGCTTCTGGTAAACTCAGCCCCAGACCCTAGTTATTCCTATTGCAGAGTGTTCTGGAAAGCTGACAGGTGAGGCAGCACAGCCTCAAGGAAGGGGGGGGGGGGCAGAAGTCCCGCCCGCAGCCGCATTGTGTGTAAAAGGCAGAGCGGAGGCTTGAACCCAGTTCTTGGGATTCCAGATGCAAGTGGGACACACGTGAATGGAACCGTGGCTGGGCCCACGTGGCTAAGGATGCTCCCCCATCTCTGGGACCTCAGGTGCTGTGTGTACCAGTGTGGTCCCCAGTCTGGGGTCCCATCCACTGGGAGTCACTTCGGCCTCGGAGTTAAGCTGTCTCCTCCCTAGAGACCAGGTGGGGCTGGGTCCCCCGGCTCCTGGCTGGGGTCTGCAGTCAGCGGGGAACCCACTGGCCTCCTGCCTGTACCGGTCCTGTCCTCTGGGGACGTCTCCTGATACACAGAGACAGTGAGAGGCCGAGAGGGGAGACTGTCTCCTTCAATAAAAGCCACTTATATGGAGCTATGGTGACCTCAGGTCCCTTCCTCGGGGGCCTCAGAGTAAGTTCCCCAGGCCTCTAAAGGTCCCCATTGCTGGCCAGCTCCTGCCTTCCGACCCTGTCCTGGGCTCACGGGGCTTCCTCAGTGCCCAGCCCTCAAACCTTCTGGAAACGGGGACCTTCCGCACCTGGAAGACAATGACAAAGGCCAGCCGGGCTGCCAGCACAGCCCAGAAGTCCTTGGAGATGTCATACTTGTGCTCCGACCACGGGGGCTCCCGGTAGTCCTTGTACCTGCGGAGACGGCCGGGCATCAGTGTGGCTCTCGGAGCGGGAACCGGGCTTCCGGCCGGCGCCCTGCAGCCTCAGGAAGGCCTCGGCCGCCGCTCCAGCCACCACCACCGCGGGCGGCCCTCCCTGGCGGAAGACGCTCCAGACCAGCCGCTCACACGGCGGGTGGGTCACTCTCGGTGTTGGAGGGCGGGGCCTGGACCCCCGAGGGCTGGGCAGGGCCCGAGGGGCTTCGTGCAAAACGCAGACACCGCAACGTGGCCCCACGGGCCCATCCATGAGCTCACAGCAGGCGACTCTGGGACCATCCGGTCCTGGGGTTCCAAACTTTTATTTTGTAATGTTTGTTTATTTTTGAGAGAGAGAGAGACAGAGGGCGAGCAGGGGAGCGGCAGAGAGAGAGGGAGACACAGAATCCGAAGCAGGCTGCAGGCTCTGAGCCGTCGGCACAGAGCCCGACGCGGGGCTCGAACCCACTAACTTCGAGATCATGACCTGAGCCGAAGTCGGACGCTGAACCGACGGAGCCCCCCGGGCGCCCCATGAGGTTCCAGACTTTTAAAGGCAGCAAAGCCCTTCTTCCTAACAGGAATCTCACCTGAGACTCTAGTGGGTCACACAGAGCAAGTGGGGACGCCTGGTTTCCCAAGCCTGGAGCCCCCCAACCTCAGCCCAATGCCCACCGTCCACAAGACCCCCGCTGGGTTCCATGAACCCCAGGTTTGAAACCCACCTCTCCAGTCTCTCCTGTCTACTGAGGAGACTGCTGGAAAACAGACCAACACACATTCTCCGAAAGCAGCCCAAGTATGAGGTCAAACACGTGACTGGTGGGGACAGGACCCGCCAGTCAACTGTCCCCCTGCCTGCCGGCCCCACGGGACCCAGCACCACAGGGGCACCTCCTTCCTCTCTTCCAGCTGAAGCTTCTTGGCTGTCCCCTCCTTATTTCCACGTGACACCGGCCCATCCCCCTCCCTGGGTTACCAGGTGTAGACGCTGCCCGCTGCCCCCTGCCTGGGCAGACACCCTCTCCCCCACTGACCCTCGTTCCACGGAGCACCGTCCTCACTGCCTGCCTGTCACTGCCCTGCCATCGCGCCCTGCGGCGCGCCCCCCCCCCCCCCCCGCTTCAGAGGGCCCGGCCCGCCCTCTGGTTCTCAGAGGTCCCGAGATGACCAGTCTGCGGAGGCGGGGTGAGGACGACAACCCAGGGTCCCGCCTCCACCCAGGCCCTCCAAGTTCAGGGGGTGCTGTTGACTTTAATGGCGCTGACCCTGTGCTACGCATGGCAAAGTCTTCCCCAAAGCCATCAGAGCTGTGGCGGGGGCGGTTTCCGGGGGCCCGGGCTGTAGGCGCACCTGCCGGGCACCGAAAAGCTGAGGTCCAGTGGAGGGGACCAGAAGAGTAAGCACCTGGCTCTGCGGGCACAGCCCTGGCCTGCATCCAGAACCAGTGACCGCCTTGCTGTGTGTTCCCGAGCAACGGCCTGGCCCCTCTGGGCCTCGGTCGCCATCTTCTCAGTCACACTAGAAGCATTTATTGAACAGCTACTACATTCCAGCCCCCGTTTCGGGGGTGGCCACTCAGGAACCCACTACAGACAGGGCCCCTCACCCACGGAGCTTTATTTCCGGAGCGAGCTGGATGGGAGTCTCAGAGGAACCACTCGGCACTGAGCTGCCAAACCCAGAGACAGGACCGGGCGGGGGAACGCACACTTGGGTGCCAGCTGCACGGTGACACAGGACTCGCTCGACCTGCTCTCTGATGGGAACAGGCAGCCCCTGTTCTTCCAGCGTCAGAGGCCACACACACCTGCTCCTCCCTTTCCTTTCTGTGCTGGAAAGTATGTTTGGGCCCCCTGGCAAACTCCTACGCATCCCTCAAAGCCCACTTACAGACCTGTCCCGATGCCACCTGCTGCCATCTGCACCGACCTCTATCAGAGACGGTCTCACTCTCCCCTTCCCGGCTCTGCCTGCCAGCCCCCATGGGAGGATACTAACGCTCTCTCTGGGGGTGGCTGTGACGATCAGATGGGACAGTGCCTGTCTTGGTGCAGGGATAAATGTTAGCCAGCAGCGATGACGGTTCTCAGTGCTGCTCTGCGTCTCTCCACACCCGCCGCCCCAGGCTGGCGCACCCCCTGCCACCAATTCCTGTGAGAGGCGGCGTGCGTGGGTGCGGCTGGCAGAGGCCCGGAGCTCCCAGGCCCGCGGTGCAGGATCTTGGCCAAGGGTTTGGGCGGGGGGGGGGGGGGGGGCGGTAAGGCCTGGCTGGGGCCTGAATCCCAGGGAGCGGAGCGGTCTGACCCACGGTCTTCTGAGTCCATGGGGGAAAAAACAAGACACTTACAAACGGGTCCCGGCCCTGTGTCCCTGGCCCCTCCCTCACGTGGCCAGGACCCTGGGCTGATGCATGGGACGGAGCTGGTTCCTCAGCCAGTGTCTGGGACCCAACGCCCGGTTCCGGAAAACCGAGGCTAACCTCGTAAATGGCAACACTGACATTTCAGAGGGAATTTCTGGTAACGTGAGCACATCTCCGTGCCTTCTCTGTTCATTATTATTCTTGCTCTAAAACGGACCCTTAGCAGCGTGGGTCAAGCCTGTGTGCTTAGCGTGGAGCCTTCAGACAACACAGACGAGGCGCTGGTGGAGAGGAAACCCAGGGGGCCGGAGGCCCCCTTCCCTGCACTTCCAGCCCCCCGCGCCGTCCCCTCCCCAGGTCACCACCCCCCGAAGCTGGCAGCAGACCATTCCGGGCCTTTCCTGGGATTTCCGTGCCCGGTTCCGAGCCCGCCGAAGCGAGTCGCTGGGTGGGCTTCTGGGAACCGGGCTATGTCGCGGGACTGGCTGTGTTACGCGCCTTCTCTACCTGGCCGGCCTCGCTCTCACTCGCTCCTTTCCGCTGCTGTCCCCGCGCTGGCTGTCGTCACGCGGGGCCAGCCGCGAGCGCCTGCTGCCCACAGGACCTCCGGAGCCCCGAAGCCAGGCAGGCCTGCCTCCCTTCTCCAAAGGCCCCGGTGCTGCTGGTTTTCCAGTCCCTGGGCCTGTTTTTGCTTGCTGCCATCGGTACCCTGGAGCCTGGCAGTCGCCTCCCACCCCCGCCCCAACTCCCCTTCAGTCGGTCAAGGTGATGGAGACGTAGGAACGAGCCTATCGGACTACGTGTAAAGTGGGGCAAGGACCCGCCGAGCTCTACCGCGCGGGCTCCGTGGCTGGGCTTTTGGCCTCTGAGGTCTCGCGTTTCTGAATCTCAGCTGAGTTAGACGAGCTCACACCGGTTCCCTCCTCCCTGCTTTTGTCCGCATTGCCTCGCCCCTGCACTCACCACCCCCCCCCCCCCCCCCCCCCCCCCTTCCACCCTTCACCTGCCTCCCCTCTACACTGATCTGCAGCGAGGTCCCTGGATAGCTGGGACCGTGCCACCCGCTCCCGGGTCCGCAGACCCTAACCCAGGCGTGGAAGAGGCCCAGGGAATGGCCAGGTCTCAGCTCTGCCTCCCATGCCGGATCCTGTCTCCATCTTTCCTGGGGTGCTCCTTGCACACCCCCCCGGTGTCTGGCCATGGGGGGCCCCACCCAGGTCTGGCCGTCTCATCCATGACTTCTTCTCCAAGTCAGCGCGCCCAGTCTTCCTTAGGGCTTCTCAATTCTCTAGCCACGACCCCACACCCTGGCACGTGACCCAGGTCTAGCCTCTACCCTCTGGCCACAGTGCTTCACTTAGGGATGGGCAGGCCAGCGAGACTCAACCCCGACTCTTGAGAAAGACGTTCTGCCCCTGGCCTGGCTGAGCAGAGAGGGCGTCTTCACTGCCCACCAGAACACAATACCACCGCGGAGTAAGGCAAAGCTGGGAGGCAGTGCCAGATGGCAAGCTGTGACCCCTGGATCCAGCCATGCCTGAAGCTGTCCTGGCCTTCTTAAAGGAGCTCACAGGGGGCACCTGGGTGGCCCAGTCGGTAAACGTCTGACTCTTGATTTCACCTCCGGTCATGATCTCACAGTTCATGAGTCCGAGCTCCGTATCCGGTTCTGCACTGACAGTGCGGGGCCTGCTTGGGATCCTCTCTGGCCCTCTCTCTCTGGCCCTCCCCTGCTCACGTTCTCTCTCTCTCTCAAAATACTAAATAAACGCGAAAGCAACTGCTCAACGACCAAAGGAACCAATAAAGCCCCTCCTGGTGCCACCATTCTGGGGCTTGCCCCTGAAAGAGCCCTCACTCGAACTGGGGTTTGCCCAGAAGCGCCCCGAGAGAGATGCTGAGAGCCGTACCTGCAGATCTGCACCTCGTAGCCCAGATCCAGGGGGTCGTTGGGGGCCGTGCCGTTCTGGAAGTCACTGACGTTGAAGGAGGAGAGGGTGTGGTTGACAAAGCCGTGCATGGTCCCGTTATGGCTGTACATGTACAGGTACACCAGGCGAGGGATGAAGTCGGACGTGAAGGAGATCACGAACGCCTGGGCCAGGGGACAGCGGGGTGAGCGCAGACCCCCGGCTGGGTGGGGGGGGGGGGCTCGCCCCGAGCGGGCCTGGCCATGTGACCCTCTGCCCACGAGCTGGCCATGTGAGCAGCGTGTTGAGCGAAGAAATGAGAGTCCCAGGCACTCCCGGAGGCCCCCCTGGCAGCCGAAGGGGAGGGCCTGGGGGCAGGGAACAGGACACCCCGAGCAAGAAGGCCCGGGGACAAATGCTGCCTCTCACCGGCTGTGTGGCCTTGGGTGGGTCACCTAACCTCTCTGTGCTCCGTGTGCTTCGCCTTCCTGGCTCGCTTGAGAGGGAACGTGGGAGTAGAAAGGTCTTTGTAAACGGCCATATATTCCAGAGCCGTCTCTGGGGGCAGCCCGTGTGGTGCCAACGGCAGGGCAGGGCCCCGGAGCCTGACAGCCTCAGGTGAGGTCCAGCCCGGCCTCTTTCTGGCTGTGTGGTGGTGGGCAAGTCGCCTGACCTCCCTGTGCCTCTGTTGTCTCGCACGTAAGGTGGGCCATGACAGCCCCCGCCCTGAAGGTCGTGTGTGTGTGAATGGGTGGATGTGTGCAAAGAGCCTGGAAGGGCCTGGAACATTCTAGATGCTCGATAAATGTTAGCTGCCATTACTACTGCTGTTGGTTGTTCCCATGAGATGTTTCCAGCTGCTCACAGCACCCCTGTGCCCCAGGGAGACTGTCCCCTGTTCCAGCACCACCCTCGGCCTCAGAGCCCTGTGCTCAGCCACCCAGGTCGGGATGAGGGGCCGTCGCTGTCCAGGGTGCCCGCTCTGCCCGCCGTGGCTCTTTAACGAGGGGTTTCAAAACCTCGACTGGGCAGGGGGGCGGCCACCGGCAGGGGAAGCAGCATCGGAGGACTCTGAGGGTCCCTTCTCCGGGACTGAGCTTTACTTCCTGTGCTGTGGGGGCCCGATCCCCAGGCCTTGCCCTGACCCTGACCCTGACCCCGACCCAGCATGGTGCAGGCCCCAGGCTGTGCCTACTCCTGAGAGCAGTCGCCTGTGTGCAAACAGGCAGCTTCTGGGGGCTCAGGTGAGGCCAGCAGACGGAGGGCCGAGGGTCCCAGGGTGGTGGACCCGTGAGGCTGTCTGGGGTTTGCACGCCTGGGGTTCAGCCTTGGGCGCAGAAGCATGTGTTAGGGACCACCGGACAGCTCAGCCCAGGGCGGTCCTGGCCCCAGCACGGTCACGTGGACCTAGATGGGCGGCTGCAGGGGAGACTGAGGGCTGGTTGGCATGACAGAGGGGCCACTGCCCTTCTAACCTGTAGGCTCAGAGGCGGGAGAGGGCGGGAGGGTGGGTGGCACCATGGGGCAGGAAGGTGTGGATGAGATTCTGGGGAGGAGGGCTGCCCGGGCAGGAGTCTGGTGGGGAAAACAAAATGCTTTCCGACCCCCAGGTGTGTGTGGGGGGGTGGGGGTGTGGGGGGATGGCAGGCTTCGCCCCCTTATCTGCATGTTTCTGCGTTTCTGGAACCTCTGAAGAATAGGCATGCGTTTTATATAAAGGGGAAAAGCTAAGTTTTTAAAAGAGGAACAGAATGATTGCTACGGAGTCATTTCTGTCTTCTCTCTCTTTCTCTCTCTGTCATATTCTCAGGACGCTGGGGAGAGAGTGGACCTAAGAGCCAGGGTGGACATACGGAGAATTTGGCTCACGGTTATAGAACAAGGTCGAGAAGAACTCGCCATTCCCATCCACGGCTCGTCCCAACCCTTCAATACGACCAAGGGACGTGTCTAGACAGGAGATGCTTCCGCCAGGCCGGGGCCGCCCCGGAGTCGGAGGCAGGGACCCCACCCAGCTTCCCCGCGAAGGGCGCCCCGCCGCGTGTCAGCTCGGCCGGGGCCTCCACTTGGCAGACGTCCCCGGCGTCACTTACGTTGATGATGACCGCCAGCTTCCCGACACCTCGGAGAATATTGTACCAGATTCCTGGGGGAGGAGAGCAGTCGTTTCAAGACCCCCCCTTGCACCCGGATCTCAGTGACTCGGGCTTGCCGGCCAGTGGGCCCGCTGTGATGCATGGTGGTGAGGAGATGTTCTGGAGCTCTGGGCCGGGGGTGGGGGGGGGGGGCCCTGGCTGACGACAGAGCTGTTTGTAATCTGCAAGTTGTAGCTTCTGAAAGAGGTGCTTCAAATCAGCTGCTGCCTCTCCCGTGAACCTGTTCACACTGCTAACTGGCGTGGATAAAGCCCTTCCTTCTAGAGAGACAAGACTCACTTTGGGTGCGGTTCCTGCCCCTAAGGGTCCAAGCCCGCGAGGTTCGGGTGTGGCCCTAGGAGGCTCGGCTGTGGTCCTAGGACTGTGTCTACGGACAGACCAGACGTAGCGCCAGGGCCAACGAGCAGTACCGGGGCCCCTGGCTGGCGACGCCGGCCTCACGACCTGAGTTTCACGTGACAGCAGCGAGGTGCGAGACGCTTCCCGTCCGGGAGCCCCGGTTTCCGCCAGCCCGGGGTTGTCCTGTACCTAATCACGGCTGAGCAGAGGGGGCCCCGCCCAGCACCGGACAAATGCATGTTCCTCTGCCGGCCTCCCCGGCAGAGGTGAGGGGAGCAGGGCCCGGGGAGGAAGTGCCCTGTCTGAGGGCCCCGGGCGGCCTTGCCCCTTAGGCCCCTGACTGCCCCCCTCCCCCTCCAGCCTAGCGGGGCCCTATCGGGCCAGGCACGTGTCATGGGCAGCCGGTGGGCTCAGAGCCCAGTCCCGGTGGTCCCTCCCTGTCCCGGACCCATCTGAGATGGGGACAGAGGTCTGGTGCTCCTGTTGTCGTGCAAGAGGACGGCGGGGTGGGGTTCCTGCCCCCAGGGCGGAGACCGCTGCAGGCATGGCCAGGGAGAGCTACACGTGGGCATTTCTGCCCTCGCGGGGGGCGCTGGGGGGCCACCTGGGCCCGTGGTGTCTGCAAAGACAGCAAGAGTGCAGGCCTGCGGGGCCCAGAAGCGGAGGCCGCAGGCTCAGACGCAGCCGCTGAGCCCCGTGCCGCAGACCCAACTCCGCCAGGCCGCGTGGGAAGCGAGGGTGGCCTCCCCGCCTCCGGTGAGCAGCTCCAGCACCCGAGGGAGCCAGGACCGGACCTTCTCCACGACCGGGGAGGCTCTCAAGGCGCCTTCCCGCCGGAACAGCACGGGCGGGCACGCACCCTGCCTGTCTCCCCTCACGGGGGCCGGCGGGGATGGGGGTGAGCGGGCCGCGGCCCTGGCAGGGGTGACGCGGCCCCGCAAGGTCACCTGCCGGTGCTTCCTGCCTGCTGCCCGGGGCTGGGCTCCCGGGCGGGCTGCGGGCCGCGAGCTGCTCCTCCCTGCGTCTCTCCTGGGTCCACGTTTGCCGAGCGCCCGCAAGAGGGCGGAGAGCCCTTCACATCCTGGCACGGGGGCGTTTCGTCGAGCTCGCTCACGTGCGACTTAAAAAACATTGACTGGTGCTTGCAAAGCAGGATGATGTGTTTTTAGAAACCTGGACCCGCAGCCCCTGAGAGAGAGAGAGAGCGAGCCCCGCTCTGGTCCGCGGGGGCTGGCACGGCGCCATGGCTGTGGGGGCGCCCCCTCCTGGCCGGGCCACACACTGCGGTTCTGTTCTCTGCAGGCCGGAGCCACCACGGAAGCCTCCCAAGTCCAGTCCCCGCTGAGCGGGAGGATGGGTCACGGACGAAGGGAGTGCCCGCTGCTCTGTGCCACGGGAGCATCCTCTGGGCCTGCTGTTCACTCCTTCACGTGGCCGCCTGGCCCTGCGGGCTCTGGGTTTGAGACCTCGCAGACGAGGCGCTGGGCCATGGGTAAGCCTGGCACTCCCCGGGGAGGCGGACCCACCCGAGCGCAGTGCGGGGAAAGGAGACAGGTGGCAGGCCCACGGGCCCCAGGATGTCTCTGCGTGTCTAGACCCGAGACCTGCTGGGGGACCCTGTGCCGAAATCACGGGGTCTTGTTCAAGACGAGCAAACCCAGGACGCCAGCCCCGCCCGCAGGGTCAGTCTCTGTCTGCGTCTTGACTACTCGGCCACACGCTGTAGAGAGCACACGATGCTCCAACGAGCTCCAGATACAAGACGAAAACCTTCCGGCTCCTTGAGAATCTCGGCGGGTGGTGCGGTCTCAGTCTTCAAGGTGTCCCCGCCGCACCAGGGGACGCTGAACCCCATTTCCGAGAACGAGACGGGCAGGTGTTCAGTCTCGCCTGACCACACGCGGTGCCCAGGAGCTGAACGCGGGCAGCGGCTGTTCGCCAGGAAGGCTCCAAAGAGCCTGGTGTCACAGGTCAGGGCTGGGAAGCTGGGGCCGGGTTCCCCCTGGCAGGGAGCTGGGTCCCCGCAGCGCCTCCCCTCGGAGCCGCCCCTGGCGCCTGGGCGCAGGCCGTGGGGGCCCCTGGGGCCGCGTGTCCCCTCGGGGCACACACGGATCACAGGAGCAACACAGAGGCCTGTTCGAGGAAAGGTTACGGTGAAGGAGCCCATAAACACCCCGTGAAAACCCGGCAGCTTATGCCTCCAACCAAGCAGACGGGAACCAGGAAGTGAGCAGCTGACCCGTAAGAACGGGGAGAAAAGGGAAGCCGTGGGCAAAAGAATGAAGACGGGCGTCCCAGCCTCACTGGCGGCGGGCAGGGAGGGGAGGTGGCCCAGGCGCTCCCTCTCAGCCCGATGGGTTGGCGAGTTTCAGGACGCGGCCGCAGGGGAAGCACTGACAGGCCAAGGGGCCAAAGCAAACACACACCCTCTGTGGGCTCGCCCGGGGCCTTTGGGCGCCTGAGAATCAGGCCTTTGTCGGGGAGGCCACACTCTTGTCTTTACCGCCACAGGGCTCCAGAATTCTCAAGGGCTGTCCAGGGAGCGCCTGGCAAGCGGCCCTTTCCTTCTGGGGAATTCGGTGTGCAACGTAAGCTTTTCCAGGCAAAGCCTCTTCTCACGGACGTGCACAGGAACGGGAGACCGGGGCGGGGGTGGGGGGCGCCGGGGGCTTCCCGTCTCCGGTTCCCGCTCAGCGTTGTTAACTACCTGGCCTCAGTCTCCCCATCCGGTAAACGGGACTGAGGGTTTCCCCAAGCTTCCTCGAGAGGTTCCTCGGAGGACCCGACACCGAAGGCCCCAGGAAATGGTCAAGGCCCCTCCCCCAAACCCGGCGTAACCCTCCAGGTTCATCCTCAAAGCGTGGCACTGTCTGAGTCGTCCACATGGGCGACAGGCGTTTCCCACAAGGATGATCCAGGGCCAGGTGCCGGAGAAGCCCCCACGGTTCAGCAAGATTACATCTGCCCTGATGGCGTCCCGCCCTGGTCTCAGGAAAGTGACAACTTGCCTAACAGGCCACTCAATCTTTGTGTCTTCTGTCACTGAGCACAGACGGGCCGTTCTAACTAAAGTTCTGTGAAACGGGACTTGGATACATCTTTGTGATTTTCCATCTCATTTCAAGATACAGTGGGACCTTCCTTGCCTTCACCTTGAAAACGGGGTCCTGGTTTAGTTAAGTCGACTCGCGTGGAGAGAATCATCCTCACGGGTGACACTGTGGTCAGTTCCCACGATCCCCACAAGCGCGGCCTCCCGAAACCCTCAGCCTCTCTCCTGCGCCCCCGTGAGGAACCCTTACTGACTTGGGGTTAACACCCCGTGGGCCCTGACCCCACAGGCAAGCCATGCAGTGCCCTTCGTGCGTCAGTGGGAGGGGCCCCTTCCCGCCTCCCCTTTCCTGTCTGTGAATGCTGACTGAATACACGACACGCTACGGACTGCCCATCTGTCTAGCTCTGTCTGTGCTCCGGGGGCCACACGGACAGGAGAGGGGCGGTGCGGAGGGCCTGGGGGACACGCACACATCCGAGGCACTGACGCTCTCAGGAGGCCCGGGGCTGGGGCGGGGGCGTGCAGGAGCCTCGACGTCTCGAGCCCCCCACACCCGGCCCCCGCGTCTCCATCCAGCACAGGCGTGGCAAGGAGCCCAGGGGGACACGTGCCTGACCCCACTCCTCCGGCTCTGGGTCAGGCTCCTGGGGGGCAGGACTCCCTCCCCAAACCCGGCGTGCCCTGAGAGCCAGCTCCCGAGGGTCACTCACCGATGTCTTTGGCTCTGACGGCCACCGGCCTGCGGAGCTCGGTGACAAACTTTTTGGCGTCCAGGCGGATCTCGATGATGTTATTCAGCAGCGCGAACAGTGGGGCCAGGGGGAAGGACGCGACGAACAAGGTGACAAAGCCAAACTGGATTACTGCAAGGAGAGCAGGACAATTAGCTCGTTGCCGTGCCCCTCGGACCCCTCAGTGGGACCCCGTGGCGGCGGCCCCCGAGGCGGATCTCCAGAGCGGGACCCCACGGCAGGACGCACGGCCCCACGTGCCGCAAGCTGAACCGCGTGGGCTGGGTCTGGCTCGCGTCCTGCCTCTGACGTGGCCCCTGCACCCACATAAGAAGGGCCCTGGGGACACACCCACTGCAACCCTGGGTGACCCCGGGCTAGGAGGGGGCTGTAGGGAAGAGTCCACATTTTGCTCTGGCCCTCAGTGTTGACCCCAGAATAACGGGTATGCGCTCGCTTATCGAACATCTCATCCTAACAGATCACGGGGAAAAGGCCCTGTGCGCAGGAAGGCCCAGCCTCGGTGCCCTTGCCGTGCCTGGGCTGGCAAGGGCCTGGCGGGGGCAGCCCTGAGCAGCCAGGGGTCCCGCCACCATCCCTGGCCTCCCAGAGCCCCGTCGTCCCCTCCCATGGGGCCTCGGGGAGCCGGCGGGCCCCACTGTCCAGGACGGTCCGCCGCGTGTCCCTCCTCTTGCCCATCACCCTCACGGTCAGCAAGCCGGCGGTGGGGCTTCGCCCTCGGGCGCCGCGGCCAGCGCGGAGCCGGGCTCCGGGGAGAGGTCAGGTAAAGGTTGCTGCACGGAACCGAACGGGGGAGGCCGGTTCAGGAACTGTACAGTATGTCCAAGGGCCCTGGCTGCCAGGCGGTAAACAAGGAAGCCGGCAGAATGTCACCGTGTGCCAGGCAGGCTGAGTGTGGCCATTGTTAGCGCCGCAGGTGGGGGCCCCAGGGGAGCCTCCGTCTGGGAGCCGGGCCGCTGGCTTCTCCCTGGGCCCGGGGGCCTCCGCGGGACGCTTGTATGGACGTGGCCTTGCCTGAAGGCGGCTCTAGAGGTGATGGAGGCCTCAGACGAGCTTGGCTGTGGGCCCCGTGTGGGCTGCTGGTGCCCGAGGCCGTGGGGTCCCCGCTCCCGCCAGGTGCTGCCTCCTGTTGGTGGATCTCGAAGCGGGCAGGGGAGCCGGAGATGGCTTGGGGCTGGGCTCCCAGCGGCGCCTTCTTTCCGGTCTCGGGCGTTGTGTGCCACAGGCGTTCAGGGAGGGGTCCGTCCTCCAGGAGGACACCGGCGGCGGGTACGGCGTGGGCCACAGGGCGGGCCGCTCCCCGGGTGGGCAGGGGCCTGCCCCAGGGTCTTACCGTACCCAACAGGAAAGCGGGACGTAACCTCCGGCTGCCCCAGGAATCCAAATCTGGGGGGGGCACCTGTCTCCCAGCTGGTGACGGGCCACTTTTCTCGCTGCCTGGTCTCCCGCTGGCCTCAGGCAGGCAGGGGTGACCCTCCTCCCGGACCCCAGGGCTGAGACTAGACAGCCAGGGAGGGAGCAGGCCCATGGGGGTCCACGGAGGTCCACGAGGGCGAGGGAGCCCCCCGACCATCTCTGGTTCATCTTGGATTTCGTTGCGGGAGAAAAGAGAATGTATCTGAATACGGCACCGTCTCCAGTTTTCAAAGTCTTAACGCACTTTTCCTTCTGAGTCAACGGCGAGGTGCTTCTTGACAAATCGTCTGGGGAGCTGGGTAGGACACGGAGGTAGCAGGAGAGGGGCACTCGAGGGGGCCACGCTGCCTTGTTTGGGTATCTGTTACCAAGGCTAGGTCCCAGGCCCCACCCTGCACAGACCTGGTCCCGGAGCCGGCATTTAAAACGTGCTGTCCGTGGTGGCCAGGGGCCCTCCACTCTGGGACCCCTCCGCCGGGGTCTCCCTGACCACCTTTGCTTGTCTATTCTCCAAACGCACATGTACGAGTGCCTATTCTCCAAACGCACATGTACGAGTGCCCACCATACACCTCGGAGGACCGCCGTGGGCCTGCTCCCTCCCTGGCTGTGTAGTCTCAGCCCTGGGGTCCGGGAGGAGGGTCACCCCTGCCTGCCGGGATCCGTTCGAGGTGTAGGGGGTACGGCCATGAAGAGAAAAAAGGGTCCTGCTGTCACAGGACTTCCTTCACTCCGCCGGGGGATAGAGGCGAAGGCACGACGGGGACTTGAGAGGCCGGCTGGTGCCAGGTGTCAGAGCAGGGGAGGAGGCACAGGGTCACAGCTGGCAGGGCAGGGGCTGCCCCTTTAAACATGTGGTCAGGAAGACCCCTCTGGTGGGGTCTGAAGGGAGAGAGTAGGTCACGCAGGTATTAGGGAGGCAGGGCACGGCTAGTGCAAAGGCCCCGTGGCAGGCATGAGCGAGGAGTGTTTGGGTAACGGCAAGGAGGCCGGTCTGGCGGGAACGGAGGGGGGAGGTGGGGCCGAGGGGCTCCAGGTGGCCGTGCAGGCTGCACCCGCCCTTCCCCCACTTCTCTCTCTGGCCCCGCTCAGAGTGCCGTGCCACCTCTGAGTAGCCTCCCGTCCAGAGACACGGCTGCTTGGTGACACGGTTCCGCCCCTGCGTCGTCTCCTTTTATTTCCCAGTTTACTTCTTTATCTTGAGAGAGAGCGCGAGGAGGGGCGGGGCGGAGCGGGAGAGGAAATCCCAAGGCAGGCTCTGCGCCCCACGCGGGGCTCGGCTCACGAGCCGGGGGGTCACGACCCGGCCCGAGATCAAGGGTCGCACGCTCAAGCCGCTGAGCCCCCCGGGGGCCTGTCTGGTGCACGGGGCTGCGGGAGCCCCCCCCCCCCCACCCCAGGTGCCCCGCCCCCACTCACTCATCTCCATGTACTCTGGGGTGAGGCCGGCGAAAGGCTCCAGCGTGTAATCCGCCTCGTAGCGCTGCCTCTTCTTCCCGTACTCGTCGTGGTCGGGGGGGCTCTGGCGCCTGAGCCTCAGGTAGCGGATGAACTTCTTCATCTTCCTGAGGGGACACGACGTCACTGCGGCCAGGTGTCTGGGAAGACGGCTCGGGGCGCCGGGGCCCGTCCCCTGCGAGTCGCGTTTCTAATTCTCGGAGCCGGTGTGTGTTTTAAGCCCTAACGCCCTGGGAGCGCCTCTCCGTCCGGGATTTCCCCTGCCCTCCCCCCAGAGGCAGGGGTCGAGTGTCCTCGCTTGGTTTTTGACAGAGGGCGACGGGTGCAGGGAGGGCACACGGCCACCTGAAGCCCCGGGAAGGGCCCGGCAGGTGTCAGGGCACAGCGCGGTGGGGGCGGGGCGTGGGTCACTGAAAAGCGTCCAGTGTCCCTGATTCCAGAGGGCAGGCGGCCGTGGAGAGGGAGCGGGGCGCGACTCTCAAAGGGCACGAGGTAAGGACACAGAGCCTCCAGGAGGTCCACCTGCTGATCACAGGGAGCCGGCTCGCGTGTCTGAGGGCGCCTGTCAGCGCCCCGAATCCTCAGCCCACTGGGGAGCAGGGGGTCATCTCGGCCTCCACCCGCCCCTCGTCCCCCACGGGGTGGCTCTGCCCTGCCTCCCCCTGCCCGCCCTCCCCATCTCCCTGTTCCTGGTGCCCCATCCTGGTCCAGACCCCACGCCACCTGTCACCCACTCAGACCACCCCAGAGCCTCCCCGGGGCCCCATAGGGCCCCATCCCCCGCCCCTGCTCTACTCGGACCCGAGGCCACACGCTACTCACGGGATGCCGATCTCAAACAGGTTGTTTTGAATGAGCTGCTTGCCCAGCATGATGATGCTGAGCTGGATACAGAGCTCCATCAGGCAGCCCCCTGGGGCACACTGCGGGACAGAGAGCAGGTGCGTTAGCCCCTCCCCCACTGGGGGACAGAGAGGAGGTGCATCAGACCCCCCCCAACTGCAGGACAGACAGCAGGTGCATTAGCCCCTCCCCCACTGGGGGACAGAGAAGAGGTGCATCAGACCCCCCCCCCCCAACTGCAGGGCAGACAGCAGGGGCATCAGGCCCCCCTTCCCCTGCCCATCCTGGAGAGACGGCCGCAGCCCCCAGCGAGGGGAGGTCAGCCCTCATGTGGGTTGAATGTGTCTTTCACAGAGATATGTCCGCATCCTAACCCCCAGAACCACAGAGTATGACCTTAGTTGGAAAAAGGGTCTTTGTAGACGTGACCGAGTTAAGACGAGGTCACACTGTAGTAGGGTGGGCCCTGATCCCGTCACTGGTGTCCTCGTGAGAAGAGAAAACACACAGATACACAGAAGACTGTCTGAAGACACAGACAGAGATTGGAGGGCCAGCCGAGGATGTTGGGACAGAGGCCTGGAGAACCCGCTCCTGAGCCTTCAAAGGGAGCGCAGCCCTGTTGGCTCCTTGATTTTGGGCTTCTGGCCTCTAGAACCGTAAGAGAATATACGTTCCTGTTGTTTCGGGGCCACCTGATCTGTGGTCTTTGGCTACAGCGGCCTGGTCCCATGAACCACTGTCCATCTACAGTCCCCGTGTGGCCACGGCAGGCCGGGGCCTGTGTAGTTGGGAAGCCACGTGGTGAGGCAGCTGGCCACCCCTCTGAGGTCTAACGTCCCTGTCCCCTGTCCTTGCTGGGCCTGCACCAACCGCCTTAGGCTGGGTGATGGGCAGGCAGGTGACGGACCAGAAGCTTCACTTGTCCAAGTGAAGAGAGTCACGGGACACTGGGCGGCCCTCTGGGGCAGAGCTGACCCCTCTATAGGCCCAGGACAACATTTTTTACACTGTTACCACAGCATTTATGTTGGAGAGCCACAATTTCATTTAAAAAATGATGTCCTTTGCTCTATTCATTTTACAAAGGCATTTCTCCCAATTCCTGCGACTATTAAAGAATTTGGCGGGGTATCATTTACGTAAAGAACGAGTCATAGAAGGGAAGATCGCTTCACGGTCCTTTTGCAAACATGTTACTGCGGGTGAGGCCCACGTCTTGGGATGTTCAGGGGCCGGCGCTCAGGGGGCTGAACCTCTAGGCTGTGCCCTGGGCAGCCAGATCACCCTGTACCTGAAGCCCACCCCCATGCTCTCTACCGTGTTTCACAGGGTCTTTATCAGAAGACCTATCCCTTGTTTTCCAATAAGCTGAATTATCCTGGGCATTAAACTGGCTGACTGTTCCCGAGGCCTGAGCCACGGGCGGCCCCGGGGCCCCGGCTTGGTCTGACGGGGCTGCAGGAGCCAACTGAGTGGCAGGTGCACTAACCAGACCCACGGTGGCTGGATCGGCCAAGCAACAGCCAAAGGCCACCAGCACAGATTTAGGGGAGAGAGGTGGGCCTTTCTATGTTAAAGTCAAACAATGAAGCTCAGTTCTGTTTCTCCCCCACGAATCCATTCTAACCAGAGACAAAAACATCCTAGATGCTAGAAAAGGGGGGGGGAAATACAACTGGCATCGTTCTTTGGTTTCTCCTTTGGGGGTAACCCTACATGGACACACCAAGTGAGATCAAAACCCCACCCCAGCAGCCGGACAGCAGAAAAGGGCTCCCCCAAGAAGGAGGGAAACGCTACTTGACAACATCTGCTTCTGCCGAGTCTGCCGTGGGGACACAACCGGGGAAGCAGAAGAGAACACGGGGTCAGTTACCTCCTCCATCCGGAAAGAACGGAAAATGTACACGTAGTCACCCGGGCGGCCAACAAACCTGCAACGAGGCGGGGGCAGTGGGAGAGGAGGGGCAGCGCGGGGAGACCCCGAGGAAGGGGCTGGAGCCCCCCCCCCCCTGCCCCGAGCACACCCCCAGGCTGAGCCAGGACTGCCGTGCTGTGTATTACTCCCAAACCCACGGGGGTGAGACGAGACGGAACTTCAGAGGGAA